TTTTCAAGCCCACTTAATTTTTGCCTAATAGCTAGCACTGCATTTGCTGTGACTCAAACCCTGATGTTTTTATAAGTTTATACCAAGGCTAAAAGGCCATGAAAGCATAGTTGCAAGATTCCAGTACCAATTATCACTATAGAAGATAAAATGATTGTGGTCTCTTACATGATTGTTAATTTCTTGTCTCTACCTAATATATACCTACTTGTCAATGGGATAAAACATTTGGTCCTATTATGACAGAATCTGCCCTCTAAACTTGCTTCTTCACTGTCACAGTTAATGGAAATAAAGGGTTTAGTTCAAGGCAACATCAGACTGAAACAGTCTATATAAAACTGTGTGAAATTTCCCCAGAGAGAACCTTTCCATTGAAGAAGGGTCTTCAATATTGCAGAAATAATTGTTCAGAAAAAGGAATTTGGAATCTCATAGTCAAAGGCTCAGCCTGGATGTGCTTATTATGGTGAAAATCTTCAGTCCAGCACACAGGATTCTGTTTTTTAAAATATATCTTCTTAGGCTTTGAATGGATTATTTTTTGAACAGATTTTTTTACTACTAGCTCAGTTTATACTTTACCTGATTTCCATAAGTTAATGTAGTAGCAAGCCTCATGTCTGTATGTGCATTTAATTAATCGATGAAGCTATTTTTTTAAAAAAAATGTCTTTGTTTCCTGTGATTCATACTACTTGAATAGCAGCAATAGTCCAAACCAGTGGTGGGTTGCTCCCAGTTCGCCCCAGTTCAGGCGAACTGGTAGTGGTGGCGGGAGGCTCCGCCCACCTATGCAGACGACATCATCAAAAATGCTCTGCACATGCACAGAAGCACCACATTTGTGAAGTGAGCGCCCGTGCCTGTATGCTACCAATAGCGAACTGGTAGCGCCAGGATTTGAATCCCACTATTGGTCCACTACTGGTCCACTACTGTCCAAACATGTGTGCACGACTAGATCAGGGCTGTCAAACTCACGGCCACAAGTCAGATGCATCACACACTGGCCACGCCCATGCCCAGTTTAGCAAAGGGAGGAACAGTCCTGATACGTTGCATGACACTGACGTGATGCCGAAAGTTTGACACCCCCTGACCTAGATGCTGGAAGGCAGTATATCTTATAGCATGAATCAAACCCACAAGAATCAATTGCTGCCAAGTGGTCAAACAATATTTATCTCAATATTTATGCCAAGTAATCAAACAATATTTAAACATATCAACACACCTTCCACTTCCTATTTTCCCCACAACAACAATCCTGTGAGGTCAATTGGGCTGAGAGAAAGTGACCTGCCCAAAGTCACCCAGTTGGCTTTCATGGATAAGATGGGACTTTTACTCCTGGATACAAGACTCCTTGAAAGTTAATGAACACTTGTGGCATTGGAAGGCAGTATTCTGTCACCTCTGCATATAAATCAAAGGATAAAAGATTGCCCATTTCTGGAAACAAAATCACATCCTTTCCTGGATATTTTTCTACTAATGCTAATAATATTGAGTCGCTCAGACCTCTCAAGTTTGTCTGGAGTTATCTCTGCTTTTTGTGTCATGCTAACACAAGTCTCTCCTGCATTCTTGATCCTGACTTGCTAACCTACATTCTTTGTTTCTATAGTACTTATTGTACCATGGTGCAGAGGGATTTCACTGATGTTATCAATCAGGATGAAGAATATTTGAACCAGCAAGCATGGTCTTACCACTACCGTAATATGTTCAGGATTATATATGAAACTAAAATCAGTTGTCCCTTTTTCACTTAACTATGGCATAATCTTGTCCTCATGACATTACTTTCATTTTATTCTCATCCAATGTAAGATACAACTTTTGGTTTTGTTACTTGTATTTGATATCAAAGGTGCATTTTTCCTTTATTTTGACTTCATCCAGCTACAAGTTCAAGATAAGTAAAATCCTGAGCTGGGTCACATATTACCTTGGAGAGATGTCAGAGAAGCCATAACTAGGAAAAGAAGCAATAGAAAGTAAATTTCATGCTAGTATAGTTATAGGCTAACTTAAACATCAACGAATAGCCCTTAAATTCAGTAGTGTGGAAAGGCTCTCAGAGTTACAAGATTAAAGTATTGAGCGTAGATAGGGAGGAAAACTAAGGTCAGGTTATCCTGCATCGTTGGAAAAGTCAAGTGGAAGATATTCTAGTGCGATTACTTTTTCTGCTCTTTGTGTCATGATAAAAAGACAGAATAATATTAAAACTGAAAAGGATATTCTCAGTTTATTAAGTTGGTTCATTGAGAATATTATTTTATATGACTAAGCTCAATTTAAGCAAACAAAACCCAGATTCACTTAATGACCACATTGCTTAGCAATGGAAGTGTTGGTTCAATTGTGGTCATAAATCGAGGACTACCTGTATGCATTGTAAAAGTTTCATAGGTAAGCTTTACTATTGTTGTCATTATTGTTTTTAATAATAATTCCTTTATTAAGAGAAGGGAAAAAAACAATTAAAAAAAAGAAGAGAAAAAAGAAAGGCCAAAAATGAAGAATAAAACACAAAGTAAATAAATGTTATTGACAAGTCTCATACTTACGTTAAAATTTTTAGTAATTCATTCAAGTAATTGAATGTTCTTTGTTGTTCTAAATACTATTGTTAAAATCCAAGTAATAGATGAATTACAACAAAAATAATCAACATAGTATAAATTAACACTTGCAATAATTTCTGTATGAGCGATTGAAGATTTCATAATAATAAAAACCCAAATTTATATATGGTGTATACCAATTTACAGAGTTATAATCCAAAACTAGAATAAGTTTAATTAAATTCTGTGTCAGAGTTATTTTAAAATATGAAGCCATTTTGGACATCAACGTTATTCTCCCAGACCTTAATTAGCTATCTATAGAAGGATCTCTGTGTACTTTCCAATAGGAACAATATCCTTGTAAAAGTTATTTGTTTATGTATTTATTAAATTTCTGTGGCATCTATCTGCCCAATAATGTGATTTTGGACAGCTGAGCTGCCATGTGCAAAGCTAATTTGCTACCTTTGTAGAAATATAAGCTTTAGTAATATTTAATTTAAAATAGCAAATATTTTAAATTAAATTACATTTCAAAAATTGTTTCATTCCCTTAGAAATTATTTACAAAATGTTACCACATGATTGATTATATACCATCAAGTTGGTATCAACTCTGAGTTACTACATAGATCAGGGTTTCTCAAATCATGTGATGTACCTCCCTTGGAGAGATCTAGACTAAGTCCAGGGAAGCAGTGGTAACCTCTTAGCTACATGTCTCTACTCCTAAAATCTCAGTATATTGTTTTTGTTGTTCATTGGACTGTTGTTCATAAGGAATTTGATGAAAAAAACCATCATAAAATGATAAAGCAGTCTCAGCTTCCAGCTTCATTAGAGTGAGCTCTATGACAGTATAAGAGTTTGTTTAATTTTCTTCTTGTAAGCCCATCTCACATCTCTCTCTTCCCACGTTGCTGGGAACTTAAACTGTTGGAAAAAAAATTAGTGGAGCTATAGAATATGTTAGTGCATGTCTTCCTGCAAAGTCAGCATGGTGACTCAAAGTTTAAGATGCTGGGTTGGAAAGCCGACAGCCCAGGTTCAAGACCTGAGATCCATGTGATGGGATGAGCTCCCATCCGCACCTCAGCTCCTGCCAACCAAGCAGTTCAAAAGCATGCAAATATGAGATAAATAGGTACCACTTCAGCGGTAAGATAATATTGCTCCGTGACATCATGCTGACCACATGACCGTGGAAATGTCTTTGGATAGCGCTGAGTCAATGGCCTTGAATCAGATATAAGCACCATCCCCTATAGTCGGAGTAAAATCCACAGGGACTCCTTTACCCTTGTTTTTAAAAGTCCTCTGCAGGTTGTCATTTCCCTATCTGCAGGCTTGATATATTAATGTCCAGTTACCGGCATATGGAAAACAAAATAACAAAATAACAACAATGCTGTAGTTGAAATGAGATTTTGAATAGGTTTTTTTTCCCATTTGACTCTTCTCAGCTGAACTAACAGGTGCTTGTCTTGCTCATTTTCATATAATAGCAGTCCCTGAAGAATAGTGAACACTGAGATCTCCTTTGGCAACAATGAATAAGGATTTGGACTTGCTTGCTTGCTTCTTTTCCCAAATCCAAGCCATACCAAATGGTGGCTATTGTAATTCTTCACTGTTCTGAATGCAGTAGCAGAGAACAAAATTACTCCTGAAGTCAGAGCTCAAATAACATTTCACTCATATTTATTGCTGTCATAAGTTTAGCTGGAGGCCTTGTGCACACAAAACCCAGTCTGACAAATTCTTACAAAGCTACTATTTGTACATTTGCCAGGCTAGGACTTTGCAATGTAAGGAAAATTAGCTCCTTTTCTCCATTCTGAACTGAACTAGTAATATCATGTAGACAATCTGAATAACAAAATTGCACAATTTATACTATTCCTTTCCCTAAAACATATGCAAAATCTAGTTCTGTACAATTATGACTTTAAGTGATGGCTCTGGGCAGGGCCGGATTTAGATGAAAAGAGGCCCTAGGCTATTCCACTTATGAGGCCCTTTCACCTATAGTGAAAGTGTAATTTTAATTTTGCTAACAATTTGAATGTAGGCTCCTCTTGATCTTGAGGCCCCCTCTTGATCTTGAGGCCCTAGGCTGAAGCCTACTTAGCCTATAGGAAAATCCGGCCCTGGCTCTGGGGCCTTTTGTGTAGAAGAAGCAGTAAATTCAATTTGGAATAAAAGTAACTGGAGATTTGACTGTCAGAGAAACAAAGACTTAGTCTTTCTTGATGCATTTCATGTTCCAATGAAATCTCTACAATATTGTTTCTGAACCTTGGCTGTGATTCAAATGTGTGGATTTCAATTTCCTGAATTTCCCAGCCAGCATGCTGGGAATTGAAATCCATATATCTTAAAGTTGCCAAGGTTCTGGAACACTGCTCTAAAGCAGGGCTGTCAAACTGCCGGCCCGCAGGCCGGATGCATCACACAGTGACCATCCCCTCGCTTGGTTTAGCGAACGGGGGGGGAGTCCTCATATGTCACCTGACGCTGCCGTGACAACGTGAGTTTGACACCCCTGCTCTAAAGGATCAGCTATTTGAAGAGATTCTTAGGCAAGGCAAAATGTTAGTGACCAAAACTTACAATCTTAGGTCTCCCTATGTTAATTACAGGGTTGTCCGCAAGATAATGATGTGGTCAATAAAGCCGAAATGATGTGATCAAATAGTCAGTGCACCACATTCTGCAAGCACTCCCAACTGATTTCTAGATTATCCTGGTAATCCTGCTGTCACTATTTTATACTGATGCTCATTATAAGAAGGAAAATAGAAAACAGAACAAACCTGGAACTCCTCCATAGACTGTTCATGTCATATCTTTCTCCTTTTATCTCCTAAATCTTTGTTCATCTACTACTCGTGTGCCTGACAAATCATCCGTTTGATGATGGCCTGGTGATCAGATACAAGGATCTAATCTAGGACTAAGGCTAGGCTACTTCTGATCCGCTGCAGTTACAGATATTATGCTTCAGTCTGCAGAGTCACATTTGACTTAATTAGCTAAAGCCCTCAAAATGTAAATAAGAAACGATGAACAAATTCCTCTGCAAGAAGCTATCAGAATATGTATAGCCTACTTTCCCTCAAGCCATGGGTGTCAAACTTGATTGCATCACATGACATATTGTGGCGTGGTGCAATTTTTGCCTTTGCAGAGCTGGGGTGGGCATGGCCTACGTGTGACACATCCAGCCTGTGGACCACCAGTTTGACTGGCCTGCAAGTTAAGCTATCAGATCAGAAGTTACATTATGTCATGACCTTGACCTCATGTTCAGAGTTTTTACTTGACTTTCACACTTTGACACTGCGATATCATGTTTGGTAAATAAGGATGAACCAGTAACATGATTGATGCTTCATACTGGTCAATATATCTTCAAGAACTGCATCTGAATTATGCTGTCTGTGGCCATTTCTTCGCTTTATATCCACAGATATAATTCATTTATGCCCATTTCTAAAAAGGAATACTGTGTTATGGAACTTGAAAAAAAAACTTTTTAAAAAAGCAATCAAAATAATTAAGGGGTCACAGCACCTTCATTATGATGAAAGACTAAAGCATCTGAGGCTTTTCGGTTGGGATATTTTTTTCCCCCTTCCTCTTTAATACCATACATACTTAAACTTTGGAATTTGCTGCTATCAGATGTTATCAATTTCTGTGGCTTTGAAAGAAAATGGAAAAAATTCATGAAGGACTAGACTATCAACAGCTACTATCTATTTCCAGAATCACAGGTGTGAAAGCTGATTTTAAATTTGATAATAAGTCTACAAACCATTTCCCAAACAATCAACAGGTGCAGATGGCTCTTTTTTTTCTAGAAGAGAGCAAGCTTATTTCCTTTACACTGAAAGAACAAGAGAAAAATATCCTGAAACTTTCTCTGCTAATTTGCCTATATACAGGATTCTCAGTTGAAAATCAAGTACCTACTGGAATGCTAGTGTTATTAGTTTTACTTTCTCCTTAATAAAGCAGAGTATTCTCAATATATCAAATCATAATCTGAGCGATACATTTATAGAATTAATCATATTCAGTTTAAGCTGCCAACAGAGAAGCCTGACAATTCTCCTTAAAACACCTTGAATGTGAATTGATAGGGGGCCTCATTCCCTGGTGTTCATATTGTGATGCTGAAAACATCTGTGTGGCCACTGCATGACATTGAATGCATGGAGTAGAGGGGCAGTTATTTTGATTTAGGAACATTTTTCTTATGTTCTTATATATTTCTGAAAGCTGTATTTATATCTTATTATACAACCAGAGTGATAAAAGATTCTGAGAGAAGCGATAAGCATTATTTATTTGCCCTTCAAACTTTATGACTGTTCTTTTCAATTTTTGTAGAGTATGGGCTTTATGTGTAATTCGCTAACAACACAGGGTCCCTATATGTACCAATAGCTCTATGCCACACATTCTGGCTTATCCTTATTTGTTGCAGCTGATAAAATAGGACATTAGTGGGGCTGACATATAAACACATGATCCTAGGGCTTAATTAGGACATTTGTTTCTATTTTGAACTTCCCTTTCTAAACCTACTATTGGGTCCAGATTTGTTCATAAAATGTTCTACTGCTATTGTGTATCATTAGATCAACAGCAATATCATTGAAGAGTCAATGCCTAAAAGTTTGGAATTACAAATATAATATACCAAAGGTGCTTTTTCAGGAAGCAACTGAACTTTGTTTTTTCTTTTGAAGACATTTTGCTTCTCATCCAAGAAGCTTCTTCAACTCTGACAGGAGAGGGGCAAATGGAAGGATTTATATTCCTTGCAGACAGACAGAGTAGGAACCAGGGGCACTACTCAAGTGACCCTGAGTACACAGATAAACCTTCAATGACCCTCTAAAAGAATGCAGATTACCAGCTGTCTGCAAGGAATATAAATCCTTCCATGCCCCACTATCCTGTCAGACCTGAAGAAGCTACTTGGATGAGAAGCAAAACGTCTTCAAAAGAAAACACAAGAAAGTCCAGTTGCCTCCTGAAAAAGTACCTTGGGGACAACCATGATCTGGAGGACTGAGAATCTCTACAGACTTTTAACAAATGTAATAGAAATTCTAATTCTACTTATTTTAAACTCTGTGTAAGGAACATGTAACTCAAGGTCAAGATTAAGCATAAAGTTAAAAGAAATGGGTATTCCTTTGGACAAAGATGTTACATTCCAAGAGTATGTACATACCAGTTCTTGGGGTTCTTTTTATAACATGAGAAAAAATACTGGCAATTGATTAGTTTGCAAAAGAAAAAAAAAACCAATGGATTCTTACAGATATGTAAATTTTAGCTAGTAAATTTTTACAGATATAGCTTCCTAAGTACCAGTGGATGCTTTGAATACCCTGCTGTCCACAGTTAAAGCCATCATGTAAGCATGTCATAATTAATAGTAGTATCTTGTAAGCTCTGCTTCTTTCAGCACTACAGGAATTAAGATCTCTCAGTGCCTGAATAGGTCACTTCAGTGTTTCTCCCAGAGAATTAATGCTAAGCAATTATACAAAGCATTAAAGGATTCTAACAGAATCTGCTGCTCATACTTAGAAAGCAGTTATAACCTTTACCGCATTGTAGTTACTTTTTTCTTTTCCATGTTGCACTGCAACAAAGAGAAAGAAAGAGATCACATAAAGCTATGAAGGTCAAGATTATAAAAACAATTTGTGAATTAAATGTTTTTCTGGAGTTTTTCCAGTGGGTGACTCAGTCATAATTTGAAGTGCAAAGAGTAAATGAAAATGAATACATTTTTAAAAAAACATTGCTGAATGACCATAATAACCAATTAGCCTGAAGTTCATGTAGCATTTTGAATCTTATGCAGAGTTTTAAAATAAAATTTGAGTACTGTTCACCAACCAGTACAAGCCATGCACTCCTATGTTCTTCCAATAAAGCAAATAGTTTTAGGAGTGTAGCCTAAGCATCATAAACATCCTCTGATTAATTTGAGGGGAGGGGGATAAATGCAGCTATTTAAATTTGTTCGACCAGTGTCTAAGATTTTTATTCTTTATTACTCCTTTTAAGAAAATCTTCATGTGAACTTAACAGTCTTGAACAGGCTCCCCACAGAGATAGCTGTGAACTAACTAGCATATCACATTAATTCAATGTCTGTCATTAGTTTCAATTCTGACCGACATTAATACAGAAGTAAACCAAACCCAAATTATTATCCCATTAAGAGTAAGAAATCTCTGTTGGGAAATAATTTGAAAGACTGCTCCTGTAGTCTACTACCCTGAATGGGCCTAAAAAAACTGGAAAGGAGGAGAGAAAAAATTAATCTCCTTCTCCCCTTAAAGATGAGGGGGAGGAAAGCTATAGCAAATCTAGACAGCATACTAAAAAGCAGAGACATCACCCTGTCAACAAAAGTGCGTATAATCAAGGCTATGGTTTTCCCCATTGCAATTTATGGCTGTGAAAGTTGGACCATAAGGATGGATGAGCGCCAAAGAATTGAGGCCTTTGAACTATGGTGCTGGAAAAGACTCCTGTGAGTCCCTTGGACTGCAAGGCGATCAAACCAGTCAGTCCTACAGGAGACCAACCCTGACTGTTCTTTAGAAGGCCAGGTCCTGAAGATGAAACTCAAATACTTTGGCCACCTAATGAGAACGAAGGACTCGCTGGAGAAGAACCTAATGCTGGGAAAGATTGAGGGCAAAAGAAGAAGGGGATGACAGAGAACGCGGTGGCTGGATGAAGTCACTGAAGCAGTAGGCATGAGCTTAAATGGACTCCAAAGGATGGTAGAGGACAGAAAAGCCTGGAGGAACGTTGTCCATGGGGTTGCAATGGTTGGACATGACTTTGCAACTAACAACAACAACAACAACCCTTAAAGAATGAAGAATTGAATAGCTGGATGTCCTTCCTTCCAGTAGTGGGTTTCAATTTCATTTGCTACTGGTTCCCTCGTGGGTGCACACATGCATGCGATGCTTCTGCGCATGTGCAGAGACATCCGGATGGGTGGGCAAAGCTTCCCACCACCACTGCTACCAGTTTACCTGATCTGGGGCGAACCGGTAGCAACCCACCACTCCTTCCTTCCCATGACAATCATGTGCATCTATATATCATAAAGAACAGTTAGCATCATTAGTATTTCACTGCCCATGCTAAAATTTTCAAAGGAGAAAATCAACAGTGAGAACTCTACCTGAAACAAAGATCACAAATCTACATAGCAAATACATTATGCTGCACATAATGAGATTATGCTGCATGCCCATTCCCCTTCATTTTTTTGTTTTTTTCTCACAGATTTGATATGTAGAGAAGAATTGTAAGGATGTGAGTGTGTGAGACAGAAAGGCACACACACACACACGTATATGGCTACCTTTGAATTGGTCACCTTTCTGTCTCACATACCTATATATATATATATCATTTTCTCCCACTGACTGGCAAATATTGACTTGATTGGGAAATCATTACTCTTATTTAATTAGGGGCTTAAAAATTGGAAGAGCACAATCTTTCTGGATCCTTGAAAGGGCCAGCTGTCTTTAGAAGTAAAAGTTGTTTGGACTTAAGCGTCTTATTCCCAAATAAATACCCTGGTCTAATAATTGAGTCCATCAATATTCATAAGGCAGGAATATCTGGAAAGATCTAGAGATGTTTCCAGGGGCAGGAAGTAAGGGAAAGGGTTAAAAAAATTCCAATATATAGCAAAATACGCAGTTTGCTGATTTGTATGTGAACGATTCTAATTTTGCTGAAAGATAATAATTTTGAACTCTCTATTTTATTTATAATTTTCATTTGGAAAAAAAAGGCCTTTCATTAATTTTTTTAAAAGGATCTCTTTGACTAAGTGCCAATTCATCAATGCATTAGAAACAGAACATTAATCTGTTTCTCCCGTCTCTGCCATAATTGTAACATTTTTCTTTTAATGAGGTAGAGTAGGCGAATGGGAAGGTAATTGTGCCGATAGTGATGGAAGGTTTCTCTTATAATTTCCAGACTAATGATGACATGCAACTGGTATTGTTTCTTTGAAGCAAAGGGTCTTTCTTCACAAAGAGATGGATTAACAGTAGAAGAGAAGGGCCAAAACCCTCCAGCAACTGGCACTCCCCCAGCACACAGTATGCACACACATCCATCTTGCACTTCTTGCCAGATAATGAGTGCAGAGTGCTCGTTTATTGGCAATATGAATAACTGGGTTTGGCAGGTTAGTCTAAATGAAAATGGCAAGGTTAGAAGGGATGCAGAGTGGAAAAATGAGATCGTTGCAAGGTGACTGCAGAAAACTGTCTTCCATATGCCATTCAATGGAATGGTACTGAAGCTAACGGATAAAATTTGATATAATCCTACCTTGAACAGAAAGCCCTAGGGCTGATAAAGGAGGATTGCCATGCAGCTTAAAGAGGATGACCTGTTTTCCACTATACGGGGCATTTCAGAAGGCTGTAAAGCTACAATCCATTCCACTATCTATAAAAGTGCTGCAGTTTCTTTGTTAAGAATAGATTTGTAGAGTTCAGGAATGGGGTAGCAATTCAGAGCTGCATCTGTTCAACGTATCTTGTTCTGAATTTCAAAAGTTGCACATATCACATAAGTAACTATGAAGTAAAGTTATATGCCATGGTTTTCCATGCCTAATCACACACACACAAAATGCTGGTTCTTTCCTGATTGTTCTGCGTTTTTAAAGGGAAAAGTTATGCATTATATGTATACTATAAATAGTGGTCCCTAATTTTGCAAGGCTTTATTGACATTACATACACACAGACAAATACAAATTATAGGAGACTGAAATGTTAACATTAGAAGTAAATATTTGAAGTAACGGGAAATAACGGGAATGCCAATATTTATAGCAAAAAAACCTTTTCCAAAAACCTAAATGTGGATAACTCTCCACATGGATATAATCAGGTGTCTGAGAAAGTATACAGTAGAGCGTTGCTCAGTTGTGTAGTTTTACAAAAGTAAA